CACACGACCACACACACACACACACACACACACACACACACACACACACACACACACACACACACACACACAGAGTCACCCACCCACATCACGAGTTTTGCCTGTCAGCAGCTTGAGGTGCAGGGCTCCAGAAGACGGATTCCCCCAGTGAGAGACACACAGCTGGCAGGCTTTGTGGCTTGGCAGGGCCCAGCACCCAGGCCTGCACTAGATTCTACCCTCAAGACAGACGCAGTTGCCCAAGCACCCACCTACATCATGAGTTTTGCCTGTCAACAGCTTGAGGTGCAGTTCTCCCCAAATCCCTGCACCTATCTTCTTGAAATTTGGCATGCTTCGTAGCCTCATCAGGGGCCACCGCTCCTGCAGTTTTCACCCCCCTGTGGTGTAACACATAGACGTGACATGAGTTTTGCTTTCAAGAATTTGGGGTGCAGGTTCCCCCAAACACCTGCACCTATCATCTTGAAACTTGGTAGGCTTCATGCTCTCAGCAGAGGCTACCATCCTCGCATGTTTCACTCAAACTAGAGACAAAACAACTACGTTATAGATATTTCACTGATCTCCCATTATAGTCTATGGCCGATTTCTGAGGCAGCTCCAAAGCTTTGGAGCCGCTTTGGCTACATCGAAGCGGTAAACCGATCTGGAGGTCCAGATCGGATCACTGACATCCAAAGCGGATGGATCTGAAGCCAGATCGAATACCTGTCTACTCGCACAGGCCTACTGGTGAGATCTTAGGACTTTTATAGCTAAATATACTGGACTTTGCTTTGATTTAGACTCATTTAATAGTCAATAGTTGTAGTAAATAAAGCCCTTCTGTCATTTATTAAACAAGTTGTAGTGTCAATCCTTTATACAGTAGTCCTGAATCCTATTTCATCACTTAACACCAGTTCTTAGCTTTTATTCTTTTTTGACTACCGAAAAATAACGGAGAAATTCTTCTGTTGCAAAGGACTCAGAAAGACCATAACAAGTCAGAATCCTTTTGACCTTCTGGATTCCTATTTGAAATTTCTGGGTTTATTTTGTGAGTCATGTTTGCACCTAACAGTGGCAATATTGTGCAGTGCCTTGTAACACCCTTGAAAGATTCCAAGTTACTCGGGTTGAGAATCACTAGATTAGATTGTGGAATACACACACACATGCTTTTGTAATACTTCAAATCACGTTGTGTGAAATCCCCATTATTTACAACATTTAAAACTATATTGGGTACACCACTTGAGAACATACAGTAAGGGACAAGTGTACAGAGAGAGGCAGTTGCATGTGGTAAGATGGCTTTATAGGTTTGCTTTAAATTCTATTAATTTATGTAAATATGACTTTGAGGTTTTGGATTCAGCCCAAGCAAATATATGGAAAAATTCTAATTAGATGTACAAGTGTTTCAACATCATAAATTAGAACTATACTTGGAAAAGCCCACCATCCCAAGAAAACTTAGGTAAGGTATTATGCTGTGCCAAAAAGCAACCTAATTGCCCTTTAAATATTAAAATAAATGAGAAATAGCAGGATGCCTCATTTATTCTCTTTGTCTTTGGTTATTTATTTGCTCTGTTATGGCAATTTAGGGGTATAAGTTATGGCCCTCAAGTCCAGTAGCCTATGTTCAGCAGAACTGCCAATAGCTCCATGCTTACCAGCTTTGTAGACTTACGCAGTTGTTCTATCAACAGTTCTAAAGACTAGATGCCTACTAAACTAGTGCATACCAAACATGGATTGCAAGTGCACAAATGAGCAAATGCTGGATTTAATCTTACCTTCTTAGGTTCCAAATGATAATTCGTGTTCCTTTTTTCCCCAGGATAGCATCAAGCTCTGCCAATAACTTATCTTCAGAAGAGAACAAAGAATGTGTCAGAAGGGCTTTCAGGTTGCCTCTGGATTCTCCTGGGTTAATTATCTGACGTAAGAACTAAGTTAAAGAATTAAACAGTACCTACAGTTTTAAATAATTTCTAACACAAACTTCTTCAACAGAGCTAATGTATGCCTGGGGTCTTATCTCATTTGTCTCAAAGTTGTTGCAAGCTTGATGTTTATATTCAACCATATAACTATATCCTCTTTCCTTCCTTTTTGTAAGCAGGATGAGTACGGCTACATTTCCATCTTTTGTAAAAGCATGAATAACTGGGGAAGGGTGGGTGTTCAGTTGCACTCCTCCACCTGCCCCCTTTGAGTCCTAGTTCATGCAAAGTTTAAAACCAACAACCTGGCAATGGCAGCTGTCTCTCTATTCAGGCAGCAGTGAAGGACTCATTTGACTTCATGGCTCATTATAATCCACTTGATTCCTTCTAAACTCTTCATTCAATTGATGTTAATGACCCTTTCTCCTTTTTAGCGATCTCGTTGTTCCATTAATTAAGGTAGTCTTTCTTCTGCAATGTTATTGCTTGTTAACTGCTCCTGGTAATATAGCTCCTATTTCACAGTCCTGTGAATTTTTTTTAAACTAGCTAAAAACATTAAATCAGAAGTAGAAACCTTAACTCTGGTGAATATTAACTTGGGTGTAGAAATAACTTTCAATGACGCATTGGATGCACTGTCAGGATGCTCACAAAGGCTAGATTTTGTTTTAGGAATCTGAAGAAAGAGATGTATATTTAATTCTAATGACAACAGGACTAAACATATTTTGATTATTTTTGCCTAATTTGTTGTGTTTTTATACATAATATATGGTATAGCAAATTAACTCACATTCCAATAAAAGTTACATTTGTTTTTGCTTCAATTTTAACTGACTAATATAGCCCTGGAGCCCTAGTAAAACTTCTAGTTTATTTTTAACAGAAAAATATGTGCAATTACCGCACCATCTGCACAGTCCTCACTCCCTTTTCAAAATCCTAGATCCATCCAGTTGTTAATATCCTATTTTTACATTTGCAAATATAACATTCTGAAACAGTAAAAAGGATATGTTGCCTGTCGAATGATACTATAGGAACCATGACATGCTCGGCTTTTATAGCTTCCAGGTAGGTCTGAGATAACAGGCCAACACACGTAGACTCTCCATTTTTGGTGAAAACAATTGCATCTTTTCCCAGGCGCATGGATCCTGATTTGAATCCATTTCCATACAGCCCTACTGGAACGCGGCCGTTGACTGCAACTTTGTCACTGAATCCAAAACTGAAACACATTATTAAAAAAATGTGCAAGCGTAAAACAACCATAGAAGACCAATATCAACATAGATTTAAACAGATGGAGTTAATCTCAATTTCTGAGAACAATGGTTGCAGCACAAAGAAAATGTGAATTTGCTTTACAGTTAGACAAAGCCTAAAGATTATTAATGCTATATTGCTAAGATGCTTCTCAGTGTGTGAGCTACTGCTATCTTTAAATATGCATAAGTAAGGGTTTGGCAACCTATAGCTCCAGTGCCACACTGAACTCATGAAGTGGTTTGATCTGGCAGCACACAGTTAAATTGGACCTTCTTCCCCACCCCCTCAGGCAGCCTCTCTACTGTTCTCTTGGGCCTGTGCTTATTTTACTGCAGAGGGTCCAGATATTTTCAGCAAGAGCAAATACAGGTTGCTTAAGCTTTTCAGGGGTGGAGATCTGCAGCCTGTACAATGAATTGGTCACAAGCTCTGGCCTGCAGGGTCAGAAGTTGACAACCCGTAGTCTAAGGGATACCATTTGTATGGAATTACGCAATGAGTGCTCCTAAGTATTTCTAAGTATCTGATGGCAGTGGTTCTCAACTGCGGTGGTGCAATGCTAGCACCACAACCACCACCACGTTGGGGTAAAACTGCCCTGCATGTGTCTGTTCTCAGGAGGTGCACTGAAGCTGAATTGAGAAGCAGCTGCAGCAGAAAGGTGTGCTAGCCTGCAGCCCTTTCTGCTGCAAGTCTTTGCTGTTCAGCTCTGACACATGTCCTGAAGATGGAGGCAGGTATACAGGGCAGTTCTACCTGGTGGCAGCAGTGGTCAGGAAATAAATGCTGCTGCCACCAGGTAGAACTGCCCAGTGTCCCTCCATGTTCAAGAGAGATGCTAGAGCCCAACTCAGAAGAGCTGCAATATAAATGGTATATGCCTGTCTGCGTAACTAATGCAGGCAGGCATGCCTTTCTGTTGGATTCACTTTTCAGCTTGACTCTGATGAGCCTCCTGAAAACAAAGGCAGGTGGGAGTTTCACCTGCAGGGCCCAACTGGGAAGGGCTATGGCAAGAGCACAGAGTTCTGCCATAACTGCTTCCTGACCTGGCTCTGCAGGAGTGCACAGCATGGTTCCACCTTGCCATGGTAGCAGTGGGGTAAATATAATATAAATTATATTCTAATCAATTACTAACATATTAGAATTACAATGTTCATATTATAATATGCATAACACATCTAAAGAAAGTTTTTTTAAAATGAGGTGCTGCTAAATTCTGAAAAGTTTTGGAGGGGTGCGTTGAGTCCCAAAAGGTTGAGAACCACGGTCCTGAATTCATAAAGAGACACTGAGACTTAGGTGAAAGCTTTTTCCACATCTTTAAAATGTGTTTACAATAATGTACAAACTGAAGCAAATTTTCCATTGTAAAAGTGATACCATTATATCCAACATGAAAGGAGTTAGATATCTGTAGTTGCACACTGAATTTAGCATGCAGCCCCTATGCCTAGAAACAATACATTAAAGGAAATTACATTAAAAAATGTTGATCCATTAATGCAATGTATACCTTATGCTTACATTTTTATCTTCGTTAATATTAGGTTTCATGGAGTGAGGATTTTGTATTAGGTTGTGAACAGAGTCCCAGCAGACTATTTACTCATTCTAAGCTGGCCCCAAAATCAGAATACCCCTTTGTGCTAGGGATAGGAGCTTACTGGAAAGAGGGCTAGATGTATGATCCTACTGATGCCTGACTAGTACCAGAATGATTACAGCTTGCTGAGTATCTGGAATCCTTTGTTGAAAGCGAGATAAACAGGCAGAAACTATCTACATAATGTTGATCAATGTACGGAAAATTCTGTAACAAAACACTTTGCTGGAATATTGGAATACTGGATAGGTGCGTCAAGCTGGCTCCACTGAAATGTTATAGCACCGAAACAAACTGAAAAATTGGTATAGTTTTCTTTATGTTGCTAATTGATTACATTTGTGAATAACAATACATTCATGGAATTTGAGCAGTTTGGTCTCCTAACCCTTTCCATGTAGATAAAAGGACTAAGAGTCAAGAAAATATATTTAACTTAATTACAGCTACTCTTAATTCCCTTAATTTTTTCACAATATTTTCTACTATGAATACTCTGGCAAGTTTGAATTATACTACCTTTCATATTTATCAATAATGAAAGGCATACTTACACTTATATTTAGGATCAACTTCAAGGGTGACCCTTAGCCAGTCTGAGCCAGGTGAACTGCCTCTTCCTACCTCTATCTTACCTTGAGGCCTGCACCAAAGCTAGTCACATTGTGCTTCCTGTCCCTCCTGAAGAACCCTACTAGGAATCAGTCTACAGGACATTTGTCTTTTTGTGCTGGACAGGAAGGAGGTTGTAACAGGCCAAAATCCTGGAACAGAAAGTTGCAAACACTGCAGACAGCAATGGGCTAGAAGGCAAACTTAACCTGAAGTGCTGAAGAACTTCTAGAAGCAGGCTAACCTGTTGCTGGGGTTAAGTTTGAGGACTTCCAGTGTAAATCGTTGTTGAATAGATTAAATGCCCTGTGCCCCTGATACAGCCTTGCTAAGCCTTCAGCAGACTCTTGACTCAGCAGGTCTCAGCTTCATGCAGGCCTCCTTCCTCCTCCCCTCCACTTCTTAGTTTAATGAGGCCTCAGCTTCTATCCAAGTTCCCCAGTTCCCTCTCCCTTCCTGGAAGGTGACCAGGTTCAGCTGAGCTGCCAAAAATATAACGAGCAGGGAGTTTCAAGGTCCCTGCAGATCACATCTGGAAAATGATACGTCATGTGACATATCTTCCAAGAAGACAGGGTGGTCTGGAAGGAGGTTTAACAATGAAGGGATAACTAATTGGCACACATATCAAAGTAGTGAAATAGGGTATATATTAGGGCTGTGCAAAGCTTCAGTAGCTTTGATTTGGAGGAGATTCGGCCTGATTTGGGGGCCAAATCTCCGAATCTGAATCGAGCTGAGAGACCCATTAAAAGGTCTAAATTGAATCTAAAGCCTGTGAATAGATTCGGAGATTCAGGTGGTTCCCGCTCACTGCCACTGGGAGCTGTCCCCATGGCTGCCCTGCAGTAAGGCAAGTGGCTACAGGGGGAAGTGGATGCTTGCAATGGCTGAACTGGTGCAAACAGCAGTCAACACAGCTCTGCAGCTCACAGTCATACCCAGTGGAGCTCCAGATTCAGCCCTGCCCACTGCCAGCCATACCCTCATGCTGAAAAAGGCAGCTCCGCAGCTGTATGAGCCCCCATCTCCTATAGCCAAAGCCTACACTACACTAGGGTTCTCATTTTCACACTCGCTAAATTCACTAACAGATTTTTTAAGAGAAATGAACTGAACGATAAAATGTGATATAGAAATGGATTAATAATAATCATCATCATCTAAGGAACAGACGCTCAGAAGGGACCCCTGGGGTGAAATCCAGTTGCTGTAACTGCTGTTAAATCCAAAATAATATGTTACCCACCTTAGCATTTTGTGCAACTTCTCTGATGTCATACCATTTCCATTATCAGTAAATGTCAAACATACGTTGTCATTTATTACTGTCTTATCTATCCATATTTGTTTAGCATTCACATCTGGATCATAAGCATTGTCTGGAAATTAGGAAAGCATGAACTTAAAGAGCATCAACTAAAAATATCAAAAAGTTCACTCATTTAAATACTCAAGATACTTAATTCAGGTGAGGAGAAATATACTAAGTCCTTTTAGAAATTTAACTATTGCACGGATTCAACAGGTCATTCCTATAATATCTCATATTTAATTCTGTACAATTCTTGTAAAACATATTTCAATTGATTATAGTTAAAACTTTGTATGCTTCAAACAATAAAAGTGGCTTGCAGGCTTTGCAACTGAAAGCTGAACAAGTCGAGTAAAGGATTTACCTTTTTTTTTTTTTTAGATAAATAATTAAATCTCAAAAACCTTCTTAGTACAGTGTTCAAGACATAAGTTGTACCAGTAAGTTATATAACAAAGGAAACAGGCAGGCCTATATACCGAAAAGCCATAATATATATCATTAATACAATATGTAAGGAAGTTTTTAAATATAATACCAAAGTATCGCACTAAAATTATATTACATCCAAGTTTTCTGGCTATGGTCTAAATTTATTATATAAATTTAAATAATTTTCAATTTTTTCGCACCTCCTATTAAGCTAATTAATTTAGCTGAATTTAAATTTGCAAGATTAAACTCACTAGGCACAACATAAACCATAACAGAGATATATCAAGTACATAAATAAATGCCGATCCAAATACCTATAAGTTCTGCAATTGCACTGAAAGGCCAGGTATGACTGGTAGAATTTGTGTGCAAAAACTTTGGACAGAGCTGAAACAAAAGAAAAATCAGGCATTAGTGTTAGCTCGATTTGTATATAACACAACATGAACGACAGTATTTATTAAATAATATGTATTACAAGTATAATGTGCCAAAAAGTTAAACATGCCAATATGTAAGTACAGATTAAAATAAATATATACAAAGAAAACACATTATCAACAATATTCTTCAAGGAACAACAAAAAGACCATGACTTAACATTTTGTTCTGTTGTACTGGAAAACAGTACTACTAAACAGCAGCTCTTAGCTTTTCTAATCTTATGGCCCTTACTGCAACGAAACTGGCGGTGAGTGATTGGAAGTCCCACTGGACTTCTACAACTGGAAGTTATCTATCTAGAACCAGGACTGCAGTGTAGCTCAGTGTTAGGGCTGGCCGATAAGACATCAGACATTATCAGAACCAGGATCTCCTTAGGGCAGTGGTTCTCAACCTTTTTAGACCTGAGGCACCCCTGGATAGATTTGCAGCACTCCTCAGAAAATGCCAGCTCTTAGTTTTCCCTTTATTTTTTGACTATAGAAACACAATAGAGTAGTTTTTCTGTTACAAAGAATTCAGAAAGGCATCAACTATGGATTTCTGTTTGAAATTGCTGAGTTTATCTTGTGAATCATGCTTGCAAACTTAACAGTCCTAATATTGCATGGCACCCCACAGCACCCTTGAAAGAATCTCAAGGCACCTCAGGGTGCCAGGGCACCCTAGTTGAGAATCACTGCCTCAGAGATCAACCAACAATGGGAGGATTCAATATACTGGCTTCCTGTGTGCTAAAACGTGGCCTGTGTTGATGAAAACAGCTTATTATTGACATTAATCAAGTAGGGCAGTGTGTTTTAAGTAATGATGGATTCTGTTTTTCCTAATGTTCTACCCCTCTCAGATGACCAGAAGCTATTCTAGAGATGCAGCCATTAGTCCATTTTATGGACAACATAAACATTAGAATGTATCTATGGCAGGGGTAGACAATTATTTTGACTAAAGGGCCACTTAATGAGTTTTGGTGAGCTGTCAAGGGCCACACACAAAATCTTTCAGAAGGTATCATTTTAACAAATTACAGATTAAAAAAACAAATCATATAGTAGATGCTTGATTTTTAACATAAAACTTTATTTTTAAAAATGTTTGTCCTGATTTACGTTTGAGTAGTGCATATTGTGGCAATTGTACAATAGCCCAAAATAAAGTATAACTTGTATATTTTGCATAAGGCAGGTGGTGGGGGGGGAGGAGGGGACTGTCCATGTGCTAGGTCCTGGGAGCTGGCTGGGAGTGAGGGAAGAAGGAAAGGGCAGGGTGTGAGTGCACCAGAGCTCACCAGGACAGTGCGAAAGCAGCTGTGTTCTGTCCCCTGTCTGTCTGGGGTCTAGTCCTGCCTGAGGCAGACCCTGCCATGCTTCCGCCCACCGAACTCTGGCCCTGACCAGTGCACAGATGCCTCCCACCCACTCTACCTGCCTGGTGCAATGAGCAGCCACCTGCAGGCAGCCAAGTGGGAGGAATGAAAGGAAGGTGGCCGGGAGCTGAAGCTGGAGCCCCATCTAGCTGCAGCTTCCTCCCCCTCTGCTTGGAGCAGGACAGCAGGGGCAGCAGGAAGAGGAGGAGGAGCCATTGGAAGTGGGGGGGAGCCAAGAAGTATCTGGGCGGCAGTAGCCAGACCGGCAGCAACCCCGACAGGAAGCTGTGCGCGCTGGCTGGGGCTAGGGTCAGAGCCGGTGGGGGCACAGGTAGAAGACTGGTGCGGGCTGTCCTGGGTGGGAGTGGGCAAAGCTCAGCCCCTTGCGGAGCACTGCAGGGGCAGCTGTGGGCAGGATCCAATCAATTAGTGGGCACCTGCCCATGAGCTAGATTCATATCAATTTGCATGCCAGATCCAGCCTGCAGGCCATATTTTGCCCATCCGTGGTCTATGGGCTGGATTCTGTAGCCCTCAGTTATTGTGTCATCTGCAAACCACTTTGCTTGTGTTTCATCTAGAATAAGAACAGTGCAGAAAAAACACAGCAAAACAAAGGAAATAAACACCAGTTTATAATGGCCACAAGTTGTTGGAGAGTAGGTTTAGATTAGACATCTGTAAGAAGTACTTCACAGTTAGGGGGGCTAAGATCTGGAACCAACTTCCAAGGTAAGTGGTGCTGGCTCCTACCCTGGGGGTCTTTAAGAAGCGGCTTGATGCCTACCTGGCTGGGGTCATTTGAGCCCAGTTTTCCTCCTGCCCAGGCAGGGGGTCGGACTTGAAGATCTACAATGTCCCTTCCGACCCTACTTCTATGATTCTATGAACCCGAGACCCAGTTCACACAGTTCTGATACCAATTTAACTATGCCAGTTCAGAAGTATTGGATCTCTGCAATCCTACATTTGCATTAGTCAATTTTACTTTGTGCTGGCACAAAAATTCATATGCCCTGGCCTGCACTAAGAGTTTTTTGTCAGCACAGCTATGTTGATTTGGTGCACGGAAGACATGGTTTGTTTAACCCAAACGGTCAGGCTCATAAAAGCTCATGCTAGATATATCAGTAAAAATCATCAAATCTATCAGAAGCAGTTGCCAGGTTAGCTCTTCAAGTATAGAAAATGTAGACTTGAGCACCACTTCCAGCCTCTAAGTCCATCAACTCCTTTTTTAAGCTAGATGTACACCGTTGCCTTTTGCCATTCTTAAACACAGTTTTATTGAGCTATAAGCAGACAATGAACAGATGTGTTTTAAACAACAAAACGCAAGGTGCTGAATGCTTCTGCACGATTCAAACACCAGTGTACAGCCAGTAGTTTTTGTTTTCTACTGGTGAAAAGGAGGGAGGGAATAAGGACCTATACAGGTTGCCAGAGAGGCTGCATAATGTCCTAGTAGACAATCTTTGCTTATTTACCAAACATGTACAAGTTTGATTTTCTTGGACAGGCAATAACAAATGGCACAAAGACCCCCTTCTTGCAAAATCCTATGAAAAAACATCAATGCCCTGTTTCCAGAATCACATAGCTTGGGCCCCGCATTTCAGTTGCTTAATTTGTACATACCTTTTTCACTCCTAGGCCCTGCACTTGAGCCTGTCTTACACTACAAACGTTTTGCCAGTGAAAGTTGCTTTCTCTCAAAAGAGCATTGCATGCAACCACACCCAGTGTTCAGTCATGCTGATAAAGTGTTGGTTTATCTGATAAAATTTAGTCACATCCCTGAATGATTTAAGTGAGCTATCAGCACTTTTCCAGCATTACACTGTTTGTGTGAAAACCACTACACTACACTACACTACAATGACAAAAGTCATTGGCAACTTTTTTTCAGAACAGTGGGTCAGATCCTCAGCTGCTGCTGTGTGCTGCCAATCCCCTACTGCCTGGCTTCCGATTCCTCCCTTCTCTTCCCCCACACTTACCAGGTAACACTGAAAGCCATGGCAAATGCAAACAGAGAATGGCAAATATGGTGGCAAGGACATAGGGACAGAAGGCTAACTGGCCATGTTTAAGTAGCACCTACAAATTAGCACCTCTCTCCCATCAAATAAGAAATTTGTTGGCCTAACACAGGCTCTCTGCCAGTGGATCTGGCCTGTAGGCCATAGGTTGCAAACCCCCACACTAAAGCAAACGACATTTAGAGGGTCACACCCAGAGAGTCATAGTGGATGGGTCGGTTTCGACCTGGAAGGGTGTGGGCAGTGGGGTCCCGCAGCGCTCGGTCCTTGGACCGATACTCTTCAACGTCTTCATCAGTGACTTGGACGAGGGAGTGAAGTGTACTCTGTCCAAGTTTGCGAATGACACAAAACTGTGGGAAGAAGTGGACACACTGAAGGGCAGGGAACAACTACAAGCAGACCTGGACAGGTTGGACAAATGGGCAGAAAACAACAGAATGCAGTTCAACAAGGGGAAATGCAAAGTGCTGCACCTAGGGAGGAAAAATGTCCAGCATACCTACTGCCTAGGAAATGACTTGCTTGGGGGCACAGAAGCAGAAAGGGATCTTGGAGTCCTAGTGGACTCCAAGATGAACATGAGTCGGCAGTGTGACAAAGCTATCAGAAAAGCTAATGGCACTTTATCGTGCATCAGCAGATGCATGACGAACAGATCCAAGGAGGTGATACTTCCCCTCTATCGGGTGCTGGTCAGACTGCAGTTGGAGTACTGCGTGCAATTCTGGGCACCGCACTTCAAGAGAGATGTGGATAACCTGGAGAGGGTCCAGAGAAGGGCCACTCATATGGTTAAGGGCTTGCAGGCCAAGCCCTACTAGGAGAGACTAGAGAACCTGGACCTTTTTAGCCTCCGCAAGAGAAGGTTGAGAGGCGACCTTGTGGCTGCCTATAAGTGGGCTCCCAAGGGAGGTGGTGCTCTCCCCTACCCTGGGGGTCTTCAAGAGGAGGTTGGATATGCCTCTAGCTGGGGTCATCTAGACCAAGCACTCTTTCCTGCCTATGAAGGGGGTCGGAATCGATGATCTATTGAGGTCCCTTCCGACCCTAACATCTATGAATCTATGACACGGAGGCAATTATCTTTCATTCCCCCAACAGTGTCTGTTTATCGCAATTTAACCTGTGCTGCCCAGTGGTCATGGAAGAACAGCAGAACAATTAATTGCATAAAAATGGTCTACCAGGACATTATGCAGCCTCTCAGGCAACCTGTATAAGTGCTTCAAAAACTATGGAGCAAAAGATCTCAATCTCAGAAGCCAATATTATGCTCTCAAGACCATATAACATGCCAAGGTAACAGGGAAGCTGGACCTTATCTCCACCTTTTTACTAGTAGAAAACAAAAACTACTGACTGTACCGATTCATGAGGAAGCATTCACCACCTTGCATTTTGTTGTTTAAAACACATCTATTCATTGTTTATTATAGCTCAATAACACCTGTGGTTAAAAATCGTGATTTACTGAGTCTTACAAGACTAAAGGTTTCAAAGTGCAAATCAGCACACCTCCTACCTAATTCATA